AGGGTCTAAGGTTCAGGGCAGGATTCCTGGAGAAGACAACCCTCATCAGGCGAGAAACCTGAAGAAAAGCAAAAAGGCAAGGAGCAGCGTCAAAAACTCGGGGGAATGGCAAACCATTTGGAATATCTGAGAAGAGTCCATGTAGGGAGGGGAAACAGGACAGGCACGGGCCAGACCAGAGGGCCTGGATGCTGCACTAAGGAGTGTGAACCTTTTCCTGGCAGTACAGAGGCGGCTCTTAAAGCAGAGGAGTCAGGAGACTAGATTTAGCATTCTGGAAAGATCTCTCTAACCTTTAAAAACAAAAAAGTCAGGAGTGTGACTGACATTTAGGAACTATCACTCACCAAAGACAGAAAGAGGTAAACACCACTGTATCGCTCTTCTGTGTGCTGGAGAAGTACTGGAACTCCGTAAGAGCAGAAGTCATGGTAACTGCTAAGAAGTATCTTAGGTTGAGACATTTAACATGGTCTCTAGTTAGTCCTGGGCCCACAGCTCCTTGAACACAATTAGACAAAAACATCTGTGGCTAACTGACTTGAAAGGGCTTCCCCAGTGACCAGAGCTTGCTGGCACCAGCCTCCAGGACTCTTGTTCAGATGTGGATCCACAGCATAGATAAACTACAACAGGGACCTCATCTGCAGCACTCCTACAGTGCTCCCAGAGACAGATGAGTCAAAAATCACTCCATACCCTTTGTAGAAAAGCCATGCGATCTCCATAAATGTCCAGGGGAAATCAAGTTTCCTTACGAGTCTCCAGAATTCAGGTCTGTTCATCCTTTATCAAACAAGGCAAGGTGAAAGAACAAAAGCATAGAGCTGGCCACATTTTTTCTGAGCCTACAACCATCATTTTTAAGCAGCAGAGGTTTCCGCCCTGCCCTTAGCCCAAAGGACACCATGGTTCCAAACCCTCACAATTTAGCCCATCAAGGGCTCACTCAGGAGGGCCCTGTGAGCAGCCAGCCTGTTTTCTGGGTGCAGCAGGATCCACTTCCCCTTCCCCAGTGGATGCTGCAGCCAGCCTCCTTCCACCTGATGCCAAGGGTGCCACAACATCTGTTTCCCTTCCACAGAACCCATGGGATGATAGAGAGCTTATGTGCACAGATGTTCCTGTCTCCTGGGAAAGGGAAGTGCGGTAAACACCTGTCTGATCATTCACAGGCCCAGTAAGGAGAATTCTTTACTTTCAGCCAGTCAGACAGCAGTGGGACATACGAGAGGGGTGTATTAGTCAGGGAGCAATGACTGGCAGGCCCATTCCAGTGTTTAACAGAGGAAGCCTTTGCCAAATAGAAGGAAATAGCAGCAACGGCAGGCTAAGAGATAGTTCCTGTGACCTTGTTGGGTTTTGTTTTGTTTTATTCTGTGCCAGTGAGGGGTCACGATACCAGCAACACAGCCAACAGTCTCTTATTATCAAGAGAGCAAGGTGCTGGAGAAGATCCTTGACAGATCTATCTCACAGCCTGGGAGCTGAACAGCTCAGCCAAAAATACTCGGCACAAAGTATTGTACCGCAAGGTCAGTTGTATGACCAGGTTGTGTGCTTTAGGGGGAAGACACAAAGCAACATAATGCCTTCCCTGCAAAGCACGCAACCTAGCCACACAACCAACCTTTCATTTCAAAGGCCCATTTAGCAGAACTAACTGGCAGTTATAAAGTTCCTTTCAAAAGCATGAAGCAAGATCAATATTTTTAAAATTCTCTCCCCCCATTCCCTAAGGTCATCTTCTGGCTGTGGTTCTTCTCCAGCCAATTTGCCTTCCTGCTGTTGCCATAGATAAAACTATTTTTAGTGCACAACTGGTTTGAAGGGAGTTTTTTTAATTTCACAACTTCTGCTGGTTGATATCCATAAATGCCTTTCAGAGCTTTGTTTATCAGATGACAAAAATTTTTCTCTCCATTTTTTCTTTTTTCTTGAGAGATGACTTCAGATAAGGAGGAAATACAAATTACAGGTGGCAGCCACTGAACAAAGGCTAACCGGTGACAATCCAGCCAGCCATATCACCCTTGGCAGCAGACTCACATGAGTCCCTGCTCAGTGTCAGCTGTCACCACCACTTCTCGTTGGCTTGAATATCTGGACCTACATAGCCTGGTTTCCCCTGCAGTCCCAAATATGATGAGCTCTTTGGATGAAAGAGAAATACAATTTTGACGGCTAACATGTTACCGTTCAAGACCATGACTTGTCCACCATCAGAGAGGAATAACAGAACAATGCGGTATTTACCGAGCAACTTGCAACTGCAGGAACACTTCCCAGGATTATTTGTTTTGTCTACAATTTTATTTTCAGGACATCCTGTTCCTGTTTTTCTAAAAAATAGGTATTTTGTCCCAAAGTAGGTCCAATTTGCCATCATCATAAAGTAGTCATGTGTCACTTAACCATGGAGATGCATTCTGAGAAATGCATCATTTGATGATTTTGTCATTGCGGAAACATCATAGAGTGCACTTACACAAACCTAGCTGGTATAGCCTACCGCACGCCTAGGCAATATGATAGAGCCTGCTGTTCCAACCACCATCATACATGCTGACTGTTGTTGACCGAAATGTGGTAATGCAGTACATGACTATATATGCCAAGTATTCCATTTAGATGATTATTGCCCCTTTCAGTATCCCAATAATGTTGAATCCCCTGCAAATTCTACTCATCTTGCAAGATTAAACTCAAACATCACTTGTAGGCCGGGTGGGGTGGCTCATGCCTATAATCCCAGCACCTTGGGAGGCTGAGGCAGGTGGATCATTTGAGATCAGGAGTTCGAGACCAGCCTGGCCAACATGATGAAACCCCGTCTCCACTAAAAATACAAAAATTAGCTGGGCATGGTGGTGCATGCCTGTAGTGACAGCTTCTCAGGAGGTTGAGGCAGGAGGATTGTTTGAACTCGGGAGTTGGAGGCTGCAGTGAGCCAAGATCACATAACTGCACTCCAGCCTGGGTGACAGAGAGAGACTCCATCTCAAAAAAACCACCACAGCGAGAGGCCTTCCCCTGATGCCTCAGGAAGAACCTTTATTTTGCTTCTACAGAACTTTGCAAACTCTTCACCCCACTATAACCATCACCACTTTGTTTGATAATGTCTGCCTCTACAGGTAGAGTGGACCCCAATGCCAGCCCTGTACCACACAGGAAAAGGTCTATGAATGTTCAATAAATCAATTAATCAACATCTCACAGCTTCCCACCATGCACACAATCCTCAGCACACACATAGATAGTACCCGTGACATATGCAAATCCTGAGCAGAGCTAGAAGCCATAAAGACAGGTTTATGGTTCAGATACCTTCTTTCCAGAAACAAGTGCTAGTGTGCCCAGAGCAGCCCTGCATGGCCTGATCCCGAGCCCTGAGTCCTCCAGTCCAAAACATGTCTTCCATCTTATTCAAAAGGCAAAGTATTTTCAACAGTGTGTCACAATGTGTCTGACGCCAAAGCACCTATAACTAAAGAAATACTCCAATGGAAATGCTTGACCAGAAATCTTCAGAAATGTTATCTAGTATACTAGTCACATTTGTATCAACCCACCGTATGAGGTTAGGTACCCCAACTAATCCCCACCTCTGGAAGGGAAGTTGCAGAGAATTTCATGCAATCTGGTCACATATATGATCCTGTCAGGGCTCAGGGTTAGCTTTTCAGTGACTTCATTCTTTCTCAATTGCAATTGTGTTCAAATTGAGAAAGATTTCCATAGAAAAATACAAATATCCAACTTAGAGCAAAGCCAGGACTGTGGTTGGAAATCCCCTTGGGCCCAATGTGGATTTTATTCTGTGATGCTAATGATTGGATAACTGGAGTTCTGTCAACTTTGGGAGTCAGCCAACTGATGGATTCTGGAGGGATGGAGGATGTACACACACAACCACAAGTGTCTGGTGAGTGCATACACACACACACACACACACACACACCAGAATCCATCAGTTGGCCCATGCCCAAGAGTAACACATCTTTCTTCTAGAGTTAAAGAAAGGCAGCGTATAAAGTGACCACTGTCACTCGCTTAAGGCATGTAAAAGCAAACAAGCAGGTCCAAGGCCTGCATGAAGACAGGAGGACCAGTGGGGGTTGTGCTTTGGGCTTAACCACCCGTTTAAATCTTGAGGAAACATGATTACAAAAGTCTTAATCAGAGTAAAGGGGTACCAAATCATAAGTATTGAATACCATGATGAATGGAAGAACTAAAAAGCCACAAACCAAGCCCCTGGCAGTTGCCCTGAGGCGCCGACCCTGTTAGAAAGATGGAACACTTCTCTTACAGAGCATCTGGAGAGGTGGGAACAGATGCCACAAAGATCAAAGAGAAATAGCACTTCCAAAGGGAAACCTTCCCTGGAGATGGTGTCCCAGCTTTCAGCGCTGCCGGGACACACTGTTGTCACTGTGCTAATATTTAAATCAGAAAGAAGAAAGTGATTTGTATAAACCGAAGTCCCACACAGTTGGGATCCTGGACGGCTGGCTGCTGTTCTGGTTTGCACAGCGGTGCCCACCTTAGCTAATCCCACTCCAGAATTAGTGTTACCCTCTAACCAGTGGACACAGTGACCCCGTCTTTCTTTTAATCAGTGGAAAAGGAAAGTTTGAGTTTTAAATACATTCATTACTTTTGGGTCCCAAGGTAGGGACACTGCAGAAATGTCTTCCTTGCTTTTTAAACTGGTACCACCAATAAACTTGGCTTGACAGAAGAGGCAGGAAGGAGAGGAAATCTCTGGGAATTCCATAAAGTCCCCTAAGCCCTCTCCTGCCAGCTGGTCGGCCCCCTGAAACCTTGAGGAGGAGGGTCACTGACGGAGCCGGCACAGGACCGGGGAGTTGAGCCCAGGGTGCAGCGTCGGGGCCCGGGGCAGGCTCCTGAGCGTTCCCATCCCTAGTCCCCTCTAGAAGGGGCAGCCGGGATGGGGGAACAGGATGGCGCGGCTCCGGCCTCCAGCTACTCACCCTCCTGCTGGGCGCCCCGGGCGTCCTGGCGGCGCCGCCCGAGAGCAGGGTGACGGTGGACGTGGAGCGCAGCATCCCGCAGCGGCGGTCGGTAGCGGGCTGGACGCCGGCGCTCGTCCCGGGTGGAATAAACACGCGGGACCCGCCCTGAGCGGGGGCGACGCGGGACGGGCGCAGGCTGCTTGCAGCTCCGGCAGCACCTCGGAGGCCCGGGGGGCGGGGCCGGAGACAAGGCCTGGGGGGCGGGGCCGGGGAGGGGCGGGGCCGGGGAGGGGCGTGGGCGGAGCGGGGCGGGGCGTGGGCAGGGTGGGGCGGGGCGTGGGCGGGGCGGGCTCACCCGACCTGTCAGGCTGCATTTTCTCCCGAGTGCGTCAACCTGGTTAAAGTTGAACACCATCCACTCCCAGGGCGCTACGCCCTACCACGGTCAGTCCCGGAGCAAGAAGGAGCCTGGAAGCCCAAGCCCTCTCTGTCCCCAGCAGAGTTGAGGTCCACCTGCCTGTTGAGGTCCACATGACCGACCCCCAGCCCGGGTTGACCCCTACAGCCTCTGCACGCCCTCGGATCACTGGGACCTTCACCTCGTGTCATTCATTCAGCATTTCCTGAGTGTCTATTATGCGTTCCCACCGGCAGCCAACACAGTAGAATGGCTCTTGGCCTCAAGGAGTTTACAGTCTGGTGGGGATGACAGGTATCGGGATATGGTAGAAGAGGAGACACTGTGTACTACGGGAGCACACAGCCAGTCTCAGGAGGTGATGACTAAGCTAAGACCTGAAATGTAAATAGGAGTGAGCCAAACTGCCCATATTTATTCAATGATTACTGTGGGCCTACTTGGAGAGTACTTTACATGTGTTACTTCATTTAATCCTCAAGAGTGCCCTTTGAGGGAGGCGCTATTGTTATCCTGTATCCCCATTTTGCACATGAAGATGTTGACTCACCGAAAGATTGAGCAACACAGCAGGGGCCCCACTGGCCAGTCAGTGGCAAAGGTAGGATATGGATCCCCCAGTCCAAACCTAGTGCTTTGCTTGTCCCTTAGCAGAGGGAGGAGGGAGTCCTAGGCCAAAAGAACTAGCATGCACAAAGATGGAAGGAAAGCAAGGGAAGGTATAAAATATATTTCAAGTACTGGAAGTATTCATGCACAGGGAAAACAGCGGAGAAGCAGCAGAAGGGGGCTGAGGACATCATGAGGAACCTGTGTGCTTAGCTGGAAATTTGGCCTTTATCCTGAGGACAAACTGCTTTTCAGCAAGGAAAGACACAATCTCTGTCTACTGGTCCTTTAAAGCCCAGGTCAAGTGCTACCTCCCCACTGAGTTGTTCAGAAACTCCTGCCCCAAACACTCATGCTCAGGAACTTAGCATCTTGGTGGGCCCATGTCTTCTGTTAGAGTTATCTATGTGTGTGTCTGTCCCCCTTTCCTCTGGAGGGCAGAAGCTAGGCCTTGACCCTCTCTGAATGCCCAATGGCACCAACAGGGAAGATGCTGGAAAAAAAAATGTTGCTATACAGAAGTACATATGATCCTGTGGACCTCATTCCATTTGCAGATGAGGAAACTGAGGCCAGTGTATACAAGTGACTTTCCCAAAGTTGCACAGCCTGTTCTTCACCATTCCCATCCTCATCCTCACAGCACCTGTGCCTGTGTCCTAGGTGCTTCATATGCATTTTCTCGACCAATTCTCACAATGCCCCACAAAGTAGATATAGTTATCACCTCTGTTTTGCAAATAAGGAAACTGAAGCCAGAGACATTAGGTTAACTGGTAAACAGCTAGGACTACACATGTAGTCTTCTAACCCAAGTCCTTCTGTTTTTTTGCTACACTCCTCTCTGCCTTCTCCCATCCACCTATCCCTTCCAAAAAGAGAATTATTCATGAAAGGTTCCGTCCCATTCCACATCCATGAAGCCCTCTAACCTTGGGAGAATTTTATAAGACTGAAAGCTGGGTCTGCTTTTCAATAAAAAGTTGTCAAAATGTGGCTGCTGAAAGCTGCCATGGGTGAGAGACATCTGCATGGTTACCCCAGTAGAAAGAGGCTAATGATGATTGTTGCTTTATGTTGCCCTGCGTGGAAAGGAAATGGGCTGTTGTTCAGACAGAGTCAAAGAAACTGTCATCATCAATATTTATTTACATCATGGAAACCTCCCAAATGGCCACACAGATGGAGTCAACATTTGAGAGGAAGGATGGTCCATGGATCCATTTTTCCTCCATCCACCCAAGTCTCTTTCATATTGTTAACTTAATCCTTTTCACACTGTGTTACAGTTCTTTACAAAATCAACAGATGGCTCACCAGCTTGTGAGCTCTGTGTAAGAACTGGATTTCATTTACATCTCTGCCTGTCCAATGTCTAGAGCAGGAAATTGACATGTGGTAGTGCACAGTAAATGTGGAATGAATGAAGAAATGATATTACAAGCAAGATTTCAAGTCACTCATGATCACACAAAACAGAAACTAAGATCCTTGCCAACCCAGCTCCTAGCATGGGTCAGGGACTCCAAGCAATTTGGCAGCTGGAACAATCAGAGCCCCAGGCTTGTCCCAGCCAGGCCATTTCTCCAAAGCTGGCTGAAAATTGCTAAGGGCTGTGGGTGGCGTGTCCAGGCAGATGCCAGGCCCTGGCTTATGCCACAGCTCCTGACTACCAGGACAGCAGTGGGAATCTGGGGTCGTAAGGAGCTGCAAGACAGAGGAGAGTGGGGAGCCCAAAAAGTGGGAAAGAAGGGGAAAGAAGAAAATGGGAGGACAAGTAGGAAAGAAAGCAGTGGGAAAGTGGGTCTAGAGTGGAGACAAAAAAGCGAAAAATGAAGTCAGTCACTGGCTTCTATGAATAGTTCTATAAGAAGATACTTTTTTAAAAAGGATTAACTCTTAAAAAGAGGAATCAAAAGCTCAGAACTTCTGCCCAGCCAGGAGTCCTCTGGAGACTACAGAACAGAGAGTGGGGAGGAGGGCCAAAGGGAGGGGGACAGGGATAAGGGTGTGGAGTGGAAGGTCTCCACATCCCTTGCAACATGCCTCATCTACTCCAGTGGGCACGGGTGATGAGGGGCTGCCAGTGTTTTGGCTGGAGAGAACAGAAGCTATGACAAAACTGTCTTAGCTGTCATCCTTTTCTATCCACAGAAATAGCCACATATGCCTAAAAGCAGTCCTAAGTTTCTCTGCTAAAGCACAGGTGTGTAGAAAATTCCAGATGTTTGTATAAGCACCCTTCATTTTCTTGTAATCAGTTACTGAATTTTACCTCCTTCTCCCATCTCAGTTCCTAGAATTCTTTCACATCCTCTAGGTGTCTGCTTTCTGAGCTGTCTTTGTTGTTTTCTGCTAAACCCTCTCCAAATGCCACTGGCATCTTTAGTTGAGAGGCTTATGATAGGACCCTTTTCTCCAGCAAAGTCCTGAGCAGCAATGACTCATTGCAGAAATGATCAAGAGTTAAATCCCTGGACAAGAGGACATGGTAGAAGAATCCAAGCAAAGGCAGCCTTCCTGATATTCTGTGCTCTCTTCACTCATGTCTCTGAAGCTTTCCTTTCTTTCTCTCCCACTCATCTGTGACAGCATCCCAAAGTCCTGGCATATTCTCTCATTCTGCATGCCAAACAGACCAAACTTTCACAATAGAAAAAGGACACATTTCCAACCAAGGACAAGCATAATAAACTACAAAGCCCCTTTGGATAAAGTAGAACAAGAAACACCCCGTATTCACAGGGAGTCTGAGAAACAGGGAACGGGGCCTAGAGATAAGGAAGGCAGACAGAGAGGAACCCAAAACCCCAGCCAAGTAACCCAAATACACAGCATTTAAAGCCTGTCTAGACACAAGGGCTGGAACCAGTTGCTGATCCACCCTGGGGCACACAAGCTCATTGGAAATCATTTGTTGGCTCACCAGTTAACCCAATGAACACACAAGCAACTGACAGAGTACTCATAAGCCAATTCACGGAACAAATATGTACCAAGCACCTACTATGTGCTGAGCACTGGGGACTCAGATAAGTAAGCCAGCCCCTGTCTTCTAGGAGTTCACAATCAAACTGGGAAGGGAGATAAGCACTAAGCAAATAAAACGGTAGCTAACCCTTTTATATTGCACTTCCTGTGCTCACAAAGCTTAAAATGCATCAACACGTTTAACTGTCACAGCAACTCAATGAGGAAAGTGTTATTATGTCCTTTACTTTGCAGATGAGAAAATGGAGTGACAGGGAAGTTAAGTGATTTGCCCATGGTACCAGCACTAGTAAGTGGTTGAGCTAAGCTTCAACCCCAGGCAAGATGGCTCCAGCTTCTGTGTACTTGACAACTCACCTCCTCTACTGGGATATGGGCCAGATTTGGGGTGTCAAAGCACTTATGGTGGGCAGCAGGGAAGCTGCTGGGGCAGAGATCAGTAAAGGCTTCCCAGGCCAGGTGGCATAGGAGTTTGCCATGAAGAATGAGGAGGAAAAGGTAAGCGCTTTCCAGACAGAGGAGCTGGAAGAAATAGTGGGTCGGAGGCGTGGGAAACGCATGTTAGCCAGTCCAGCTTGAACATCAGGGCAGGAGGAAATGGCCAGAGACAAGAAGGGTGGGGTTAGATTGCAAATGGTCTTGAATAAAGCTGAGACTTCATAGCAGATGATGAGCTATTAAAGTTTTGAAATTAGCATAGTGATATGATCAGATTTGTATTAAGACAGGTGGCAGTCAGAGAAGAGAGGAGTAGGGATGGAAGATGGAGGCGGCGAGGCAAGTGCTTTGGAGTGCACTGGAAGTGTTGCCATGACATCAGGAGGCTCTGCACTAGGGCAGTCAGTGGCCATGGAAAGGAGGGGATAGGTTCAAAATGCAGAAAATCAACAGAACTTCATGACCAACCAGAAGCTGGAGAATTTTCTTGAATTGTAGATCACCCCAGTGAGTGATCAAATATCTCTACGTATCCTGAGGGATGGGGAATCAGCTAAGAAAATGGTTGAAATAAAGGATGAGTGATTTCCTTCTCAGCCTTGGGACTTCACCATGCGTGAAACCCACCGGGACAAACCTCAAAACCTAGAAGGCAGCTGCATAATTCTTTCTTTTCTGAGTGGCTACAACTGCGAGCTTGGAGAAAACCTTTCGTTACAAAGGCGGAAAGCTTATGTATTTATTTTCTCAGGAAGATATACTGA